TAATAATTTGTCTTAGTTAGGAATTAAATCTGAGGTTTTCACCACGAACTGACATCAGCTATAATGCTAGAGATCTATTTAACCAAATGTATGGAAAGCTTTCGCGCCGAATCCTGTTTGTATATCAACCATCACTTATTATGATATCTGAAGCATGAACTGACAGAAATATTTCCGACCTAAGTATATCTCTTGATAACTATTTCCTATATAGAATTGATAGATGGAAAGGACGAGGCGGGGAATGCCTTATTTACGCTCACTCTAGCCTAGACTCACTACTATTTGATATGCCTGAACTAAACAAACTGAAGGATTCGGTGAGGAATTCCGTTACCTTATTGTTCGGCTGTGTCTACCGTGAACCTAACGCATCAATAGATGACATAGCAGTACTATCGGATGTATTCACACTAGCATCATCCCTCCATTCACAGGCAAGCTCATTTGTGTTGACTTCAATATGCCTGAAATTTCTTGGTTCCCAGCCAGGGTGCCGAAACGTTATGAATCATTTATTAAATGTATAGAGCATGGACAGTGGATTCAGTAAGTCAGTAGTCCTACCAGACATCAAAACATCTTGGACTTAGTCTTTGCCGGTGGCCTCACCCCCAATACCGTGTATATTGGAAAAAAATTTCCAGGCAGTGATCATAACACTGTCATATTTAGCCTTTATTATTAAAGTCACAACCGGCAGACGTAAATACTCAACACTTCGTAGGAGCTTTAGCAAGGTTGATTGGAACAACTTCCACAACTATCTAAGAAGCACTGATTGGGGAACGTTCTTAACTGCAAAGAATATAGACACAATATCCAAAATATTTTATCACAACATCAGAAATGTCATCAACAAAATCGCACCTTTAGAATACTGGAGACCTGCGTTCTATAAAGATATGTATATTTTAGTGGGGCCCTTTTATTTGCCGTCATTTTGATCGGACGATGTTCGTTTAAGGGCTCACCAATTTAGTGGCCCGTGGATCGTATAAATGATTGTTATCGCCTTTTCTCGTATATCATTGTCGACTTAAATCGCTTAGTCAATAACGGAATTAAATAAGTCGAATAGCGGGAGCTGATTTGCGAATACATATATTTGTATATGAAGCGAACGAAACAGAGCAAAGCAAAATGAAACGCAGGGAAGATGGCTGGGAAACCAACTCCATTTTAGTCAAGCGTTACTCAATATTTATAGTCAGACGAAATAAAGCTACAGACATGTCATTAATGGGATAAGAAGGGCACACACATATACGCTCATATAAAAACAGTCTAGATTGATAGGCGAATAAATAACAAGGTCAAAGTATGGCTCAAGTAGAATGAATAAAATGGTATGTCCGAAGGCTAGAATAAGGTATATGGGCTTAGCATAATAACTGACAATACATAGCCCTCTTGTAAAAAATAGCACATTTAAAAATGTCTGTTTTCGAAAATAACACTGAAGTAATATGAAGCTAACGTTAACAATAAGTAGCCAAAAAATTGTACAACACTCGATAAAGTACAGTGTCACATGAGGGGTGAGTGTATTATATGAAAATGTCATACTTATGCAAAAGAATACATGAATATCGAAAAGGCTCGGACAAAAATGGAAATGTTAGCATGTGAATATGAGCAAATTAATGAGCGTACAAAAAATTAACATCTACTAATTCTACGATTATTTGAACGATAAAATAACAAGTTTGTATGAGTGATTCAAAATATCGTGAAAATAGTAAATCGTTTGTGGGTATGACAGGGAAATAAATCGTCAAAATGAGTAGAGTAGATATATGACAGAAATTGGTCTGTGATACTGACGAAATAGTGAAATATGCTAAATATATGTTGTGTTGAGCCGCGGCAGAATAAATAGCATCGACTAACGATGAGTGAATTCGAATTTAAATGTGTAGTTCCCGTTCGTAGGACAGTGATAGTCAAGTCGCGAATTGATATCTGCATCGACGGGTGATATTCGTTGCTGTAGTGCAATTGATAATAATCATAAAATGTGAAGTCAGTGAACGTTGTCGTCTGCGTTATGACAGATGCATTGACTTATCGTTAAATATGTATTAGTAGAAGAATGACCAGAGGAACAGAATAGTGACTGAGTAGACGAGGTACGTAGAGTCGAATTCCTTTTCGGTCATGAAGCCTAGAGTGGTTTGTGTGGTTTGAGGAAGATGCGGTCGACCTCGTTTGTTACAAAACCGTACCAAGGCATGACAAAAATACTAATACATATGATTAGCGATAGCGACGTATGAGACTGACTTGGATGTGACGAACAAGAGTGTATCTTTGAGAGACCAGCCCTAAACTCTATGTTCTGATATACCGTGCGATGGGTATAGAATAGTAGTTTCAGTACTTGAATAATGTTTTTGGGTAATTAATGATGCGGCGCGTGGTTATACATGTGGAAGAAGAGATAAGATGAACGTAATGGTTTCTAATCAGCTAGTTAGAGGCATCCACAGACATAATAGGAGGCAATTTCGAAATGAAAAATGTATGTTGTGATAACATAAATTGCTGACCTCGACTAAGTGAATGAATGCAATATTAATCAAAATGACGTGAAAAAATTGGAACGAACTCACTTAAAGCAGGAAAATTTCACGCTTTTTGAATAGTAAAAATATCCCAATGAGTTCTGAATGTCATAAAGTGAAGTGTTCATAAATTGATAATCTGTTCGGTGAGCAACATGATTGAGAAAATGTCATAATTTAATGACAGCACGAACATAATTAATAATTCCACATTCGGTCGTGATATTGGCAACAATTTAATAATATGCATATAATGATAATTTGAATCGTAATGGAACAATCCGACAAATGTATCAATGAGGATAATTGACATGAGGACAAAGTAACAATAAGATAATAAGATTTGTGCATGTCCATGTCGTGCTGCACAGGCTTTGCTGAGTGCGTCGGATTGAAGATTGAGCTGGACACGTTGAGTGTGTTCTTCAAATGTATCAAGTGCAGAAATCTCTTCATCGGCGTAGCTTGCTGCGTTTGGTTCGTCGTCGGCGTACCAGCCATCTCCGCTCTGCGTCGCTTCTCTTCCCTCTCTTCCATTCACCACATATACAAAATATATGTATTCAAAATCCCATTCTCGTTATTTGACTTATTTAATTCCGTTATTGGCTAACGTGATTTAAGTCGACGATTATATACGAAAGTATGCGATAACAAACATTCGTACGATCTAAAAAGGAGTCAGATCCACGGGCCACTAAAATATACCGGTCGTTACACGAAGACGTCTTCAAAGAAGTTGTACTCGATACCACAACTTTAAAGACTTTTCCTTTTTAGTAACGATGGCAGAAATATTTTTCCGAACAGAGGCAATACGCACAAAAAAAGCGATTGCTCAGGAAAAACGTTCTGTCGAACTTTATAATAATAATAATAATAATAATATATTTCTGCATGTGCAGGTACACACCGTTTTTACAGGCATGATCTATAAATTACAACATTTGTTGGTTCGCAAAATGCTTCCCAACTTATTAAGTTTATAGTTGTTATAAAGTGAAATCGTAGAGCGCTTGCTGTAAACTATGACCTTGAGAGG